AGTGAGAGGGGTTGGATTTGAGTCGGACTTGCACCTGAGCTTATTGCTTGGGTAGCATTTGTTCTGTTAATGGGTTGCATTTTTGAAGTGCCAGCCTAGTATGGGCCAACAGGCTTATTGCAGTGTTCCTCCTTTCTTATGTTCTAAAAGCTATGGCTTGGGTAGTTTCAAATTTAGGTTGGATAAATACACAAGTGACAAGGGTTAGGTTTGAGTTGGACTTGCACCTGAGCTTATTGCTTGGGTAGCATTTGTTCTGATAGTGGGTTGGATTTGTGAAGGACTGGCCTAGTATGGGCCAGCAGGCCTTCTGCAGTGTTCCTCCTTTCTTATGTTCTTATTGGAGACTTGTTTGTGTGAGGGAGGGATGGCAAGTTTATTGTTGGAGAATATGACACTAATATCAACCCTACCTATCACAATTCAACTAATATGACATAATAAACAATATTAATAACATAGAAACATGGAATATACTCTAGAATGAATAAAATAAGCCATTACGTATGTGAAGAGAGGTGATGTGTTGTTGTTGGGTGCATAAGGGCCACTGAGAGTAAGCCGTCCATAATGGTGGTGAAGCAGCAGCTGAGGCGGTGGTGTTTTCTGTAGCCCTATATAACTCCAACAACATTGGAGGAGTTGGTAGAATCGCTGAATTACTAAAGAAGGAACCGTCTACCACTATCACTACGACCTTCTACCACTATTACAACTGTTACCATCACCACTACTACCTTCTACCACCATCACTACCACCATCAACCACTATCACAACTGCTTCCACTCTATCACCACCACCTTCGTATTTTTCTGCAAACTTTTTCATAAATTATATGTGTTTCTCACATTCTTTACCAAAGGGCTGGCACTAGAAGCTTTCTTTGGAGCCATGGTAGCTTATTTAGCACTTGCAAGCACTAAAATCAATGGCAGGCCCAGGTGGCTCAGAGCGTAAGTTCGCGTCCCGGACGAAGGACGATTAGCGAGTTAACGGACCATTTGCGAGCCAATGTTTAGACGAAATAACGGGACTATTTCCGAAATGAACGACTTTCAGGACGGACGATTATTGAGGGACCACTGTATTGTAAATGCATTTCATCGCTCTAGGGCTCTTGAAATGTTGTAGTATATTATGTGTGGGTGGGGTGGGCTGGCTTGGCTGGCTACCATACCTCCCACACCTGATTTTCCACAAATAAATATTACGACTCACCTCTCACCCTACATTAAGATTACAAATATTTTAAGGTAAGATACGAACCGTCGTTCAGTCGAGTTTTTGCTTCAGGATACAAAAGAAATTTCAGGATGTGAACTTCCCCCTCAAGGGTGGTTCCTTAAATAAATAAATAAATAAATAAAATATATATTTATATGATGCTCTGAGTGAAGGCATACAAAAGGAATAATTTTCTACAGTTACCCTCAGTAACACATTTTCTCTTATGTTGGACTAGAGAAAACGTTATTCTTGCCGTCACTCGTACAAGTTGTCTGGCTACCACATCTCACATTTATGTTTATTTGTTCTACTGTGGGGTGTATTTATCATCTTTATATGTTATGTATCATGCTTATTATATAATTTTTAAAAAAATATCATACACCGATTAATGAAAACGTGTATATTAACGTAATATATGACATTTAATGACTCAATGATTATTATTGAGTATTATTATCATTACTAATATGGCATCTCGAGACATAAGACACAGGTACAGGTATACATAAGTATAATTACCAGAGTATATATAAAATATGAAATAACTTTTAAAAACACTTGAAATTTTGGAGTTTCCAGACACAATGGAGAGACATGGTGCTTACGGAGCTCATGGAGAATGTAAACAAACAGGGTGGGGTGCAGTGACCGTATTAGAAAGTCAGGTGAGGGGAGCCGTATAGAGAGTCTAGGTCATAATTTGGAATGACCGTATTAGCGGAACGCCGTAAAGCAAAATCCGTAAAGTGGGGCCCTACTGTATATACTCTAGAATGAATAAAATATGTGATATGTTTCTCTCTCCCTAAACTGACGAGTGTTGCTGCGTTGTTGTTGTTGGGTGTATAAGGCCACTGAAGGATAAGTGTTACATAGTGGTGGTGATGGCAGCAGCAGAGACGGTAGTGTTGTCAGTAGTCCTATATAATTCCAACAACATTGGAGGAGTCAGTTTCATGCTGACCTTTTTCTATCGATTAATCGCTTAACTTACTTGCTACACTTATCACTGGCTGGTGCTATAGCCTTTATCGACTCATGCTCCTTTAGTATCATACATACACAGAATCACTGAAACACTGAAGAAGCACATTCTCCCTTCTCTCTTCCTCCTCCACTTCGGTTCTTTGCTACGAGTTCGGTTTTTAATTTTATCGTGTTTCTCACTTCCTTTAACAAAAGGCTGCCACTATGAAGTTTCTTTGGGCCCATGGTGGCTTATTTCAAAGTCACAATCAATAAACAAGCACTAAACACAATTAATTTATTGTGAAATATTTGTGCCAGCCAAAACACGGAGCACAGGCCAAAACTTGGGACAAAATTTAGCCCAAAAAAAAAGCAGTCGAAACTCGAAGCGGCCAATACTCAGGGCGGTCGAAACTCAGGGTTTCACTGTACTTTTAATTTCAAGGGTCCTGACAGTGAAAGAGTTAAATGATGTATGCAGAATATGCCTGTAAATACTCATGCAACATTATTAGCACTATAATTCTACCACTCCACAAAATGCACATCAATGATCTGATACAAATTCAATGTACATTAACTGCACTTGCCTAACTTTATGTAATACACACAGAATTAAATGGATTGCAAGTTCTAAGATAATGGTAGTGTGCCCAAAATGCTATGCATAAGAAGTGACTTTCTTTTGCACATTTAATTGTATTAATTACATTGGAACCTCGGTTTTCGTATGCCCAAGTCTGTATGTAAAACTATAGTTATTCTTTATAAAACGTATTTTTTGTTAAAATTTCCCCTAAGAAACAACGTAAATCCAATTAATCCATTCTAGACACCCAAAAATATTAACAAAAAATACACTGGTTGTTCAATATACACCTACCATCCGACTTACGACCGAGTTCGGTTCCGAGAAACAGGTCGTAAGTCGAAATGGTCGTAAGTCGAACTTTACTACTGAATATCAACAAAACATTTTTGTAATGACTTTATTTTATTGTTTTATTTTGGTATTTCATGTTTTACTTTACTTTTTATGTTGTTAGTACTGTATTTTATACTGTAAGGTTTAGGATAAACACTGTGTACAACACAAATAGTTGTTTATTTCCCAAAAATTTGGCATAAAAAACACGGTCGTAAGTCGAGTGGTCGTAAGTCGAGCAGGTCGTAAGTCGGATGGTAGGTGTATTTATAGTTGGAGTAGTAAGAGAAGTTAATACTCGGGTGTTGGCAAGAGGTGTCGGGTTAAAAGATAAAGAATCTAACACAAAAAGGGACACTATGATGACACTGTGCTCTTGGGAGATTCTGAAGAGAAGTTGCAGAGGTTGGTTGTTGAGTTTGGTAGGGTATGTAAAAGAAGGAAGTTAAAAGTGAATATAGGAAAGAGTAAGGTGATGAGGATAACAAAAAAATTAGGTAATGGAAGATTGGATATCAGATTGGAGGGAGAGAGTATGGAGGAGGTGAATGTGTTCAGATATTTGGGAGTGGACATGTCAGCAGATGGGTCGATGAAGGATGAGGTGAATCACAGAACTGACGAGGGTAAAAAAGTGAGTGGTGCACTGAAAAGTCTGTGGAGACAAAGAACTCTATCCATGAAAGCAAAGAGGGGAATGTATGAGAGTATAGTTTTACCAACACTCCTGTATGAGTGTGAGGCATGGGTTGTGACTGTTCCAACATGAAGAAGGACTGAGGCAGTGGAGATGTCATGTCTGAGGGCAATGTGTGGTGTGAATATAATGCAGAGTATCTGTAGTTTGGAGATTAGGAGGAGGTGTGGGATTACCGAAACTATTATCCAGAGGGCTGAGGAGGGGTTATTGAGATGGTTTGGACATGTAGAGGGGATGGAAGGAAATAGAATGAATTCGAGATTATATAATTCTGTAGTGGAGGGAAGGTGGGGTAGGGGTCAGCCCAGGAAAGGTTGGAGGGAGGGAGGTAAAGGAGGTTTTGTGTGCAAGGGGCTTGGACTTCTAGCAAGTGTGCGTAAGTATGTTAGACAGGAGCGAATGGAGACAAATGGTTTTTAGGACTTGACGTGCTGTTGGAGTGTAAGCAAGGTAACATTTATGACGGGATTCAGGGAAACCAGCAGGCTGGACTTGAGTCCTGGAGATGGGAAGCACAGTGTCTGCACTCTGCAGGAAGGGTGTTAATGTTGCAGTTTTAAAACTGTAGCATAGACATGCCTCTGGCAAGACAGTGATGGAGTGAATGATGATGAAAGTTTTTCTTTTTCGGGCCACCCTGCCTTGGTGGGAAATGGCCGATGTGTTAATAATAATAAAAAAATAAAAACTATAGGTTTACATACAGACTAGGGCATATGAAAACCAAGGCTCCACTGCATCTTTTCACTATAATTATATAGAAGCTGTAACCAAATGAAGTGTAGACTTCTGAAAGTTCTATGTGCAGTAACGTCATAGAAGCTAAAACATTGTGTAGTTTTAAAAATAGGTTAGATAAATACATGAGTGGGTGTGGGTGAGTGAGCTGGACCTGATTAGCTTGTGCTACTAGGTCTGATGCCATGCTCCTTAAGTGAATGTGAACTGACCTGACTAGGTTGGGGCATTGGCTTGGGCTGGTGAGGGACTTGGATCTGCCTTGCATGGGCCAGTAGGCCTGCTGCAGTGTTCTTTCTTTCTTGTGATCTTATGTCCAATAAAAAAAGAATTTTATTTTTAAAAGCATCTGAAGGATGACCATTACAACCATAGAGTCTGAAAGTAGATGCTGACAATTATGTGAGAGAGATGCTAGGCAATGTTTTGCTACTCACAGGTTGATTAAGAGATGTGCGAGGTGCTGTGACCTTCACTGCAGGTGATGCTTCATTGCTCCACCATCTTGCTTCCCTCCCCACAGCCACATTCCTCACTAGTGCACTACAACCACCTGAGGAGAAGCAGAAAAGTACAAGTCGTACAAAATGTCTAATATTAAAACACAAAAATTAACCAAACATCAATTTAAATACTATTTAACAATATAATTACATGATACAATAGAGAGTCAAACAATTATAACTACTGTAAATATTTAACCCTTTCAGGGTTTCGGCCGTACTAGTACGGCTTACGCACCAAGGTTTTTGACGTACTAGTACGCCTAAATTCTAGCGCCCTCAAACCTAGTGAGAGAAAGCTGTAGGCCTACATATGAAAGAATGGGTCTATGTGGTCAGTGTGCGCAGTATAAAAAAAATCCTGCAGCACACAGTGCATAATGAGAAAAAAAAAAACTTTGACTATGTTTTTGGATTAAAACAGCGACTTTGCACTGTATTTTCGTATGGTATTTATTGTTGTATTCTAGTTTTCCTGGTCTCATTCTATAGAATAGAAGACATATTACAGAAATTGAGATAATTTTGACTGATTTTACCAAAGTTAAAAAGTAAATAAATCATGCTAAGCGTCCAATGCACGTCAACTGGTGAGTCTAATATTCTTTCTGGTGGCTAACAATGCCCTGAGTTATGATGGGTGGCTAACACTGTCCTGAATTATGATGGGTGGCTAACACTGCCCTGAGTTATGATGGGTGGCTAACACTGCCCTGAGTTATGATGGGTGGCTAACGCTGCCCTGAGTTATGATGGGTGGCTAACGCTGCCCTGAGTTATGACGGGTGGCTAACACTGCCCTGAGTTATGATGGGTGGCTAACACTGTCCTGAATTATGATGGGTGGCTAACACTGCCCTGAATTATGATGGGTGGCTAACACTGCCCTGAGTTATGATGGGTGGCTAACACTGTCCTGAATTATGATGGGTGGCTAACACTGCCCTGAGTTATGATGGGTGGCTAACACTGCCCTGAGTTATGATGGGTGGCTAACACTGCCATGAGTTATGATGGGTGGCTAACACTGCCCTGAGTTATGACGGGTGGCTAACACTGCCCTGAGTTATGATGGGTGGCTAATGCTGCCCTGAGTTATGATGGGTGGCTAACACTGCCCTGAGTTATGATGGGTGGCTAACACTGCCCTGAGTTATGATGGGTGGCTAACACTGCCCTGAGTTATGATGGGTGGCTAACACTGCCCTGAGTTATGACTGGTGGCTAACACTGCCCTGAGTTATGATGGGTGGCTAACACTGCCCTGAGTTATGATGGGTGGCTAACACTGCCCTGAGTTATGATGGTGACTGCCCTGAGTTATGACGGGTGGCTAACACTGCCCTGAGTTATGATGGTGACTGCCCTGAGTTATGATGGATGGCTAACACTGCCCTGAGTTATGATGGATGGCTAACACTGCCCTGAGTTATGATGGGTGGCTAACACTGCCCTGAGTTATGATGGATGGCTAACACTGCCCTGAGTTATGATGGGTGGCTAACACTGCCCTGAGTTATGATGGGTGGCTAACACTGCCCTGAGTTATGATGGATGGCTAACACTGCCCTGAGTTATGATGGGTGGCTAACACTGCCCTGAGTTATGATGGATGACTAACACTGCCCTGAGTTATGATGGGTGGCTAACACTGCCCTGAGTTATGATGGGTGGCTAACACTGCCCTGAGTTATGACGGGTAGCTAACACTGCCCTGAGTTATGACGGGTAGCTAACACTGCCCTGAGTTATGATGGGTGGCTAACACTGCCCTGAGTTATGATGGGTGGCTAACACTGCCCTGAGTTATGACGGATGGCTAACACTGCCCTGAGTTATGACGGGTAGCTAACACTGCCCTGAGTTATGACGGGTAGCTAACACTGCCCTGAGTTATGATGGGTGGCTAACACTGCCCTGAGTTATGATGGATGGCTAACACTGCCCTGAGTTATGACGGGTGGCTAACACTGCCCTGAGTTATGACGGGTAGCTAACACTGCCTACCCCGGGTTATCCTGACACTCAGTGTTATAAAACTGGATTCTTAACCTGGGTTAGTGTAGCCACCCAGGATAATCCGGGGTAGGAAGAGTTGCATATAACAATATACACTGAATGTTATACACAGCAATATACATTAGTGTTGTACATAGCAATAAAAAGGGACAGTGTATTTGTCTTCTTACCAAAATCAGAAAAACTTTGGAAAATATTGCGGGAGAGAAGCCTGGCCATGTTGATGTTATTGTGGTGAGTGTTAAGGGTTACCACAGGTAAACCTTCACCTCCAGCCAACTCTCCCTGAGAGGGACATAAACAGAATTAAGGGTACCAGAACTGGTCAGATCGCGCACCCTCATCCCTTATATAGGGGGAATGAGTTAGTCAGTACTTGGGCTGCTACATTTGGCTATGACAATCTTTCCAGTATATATACCATGAGCTATATAACTGGGTAGCTCCCTAAATCTTGGACCATATGAACATAAGAAAGAAGGAACACTGCAACACGCCTACTGACCCATGCGAAGCAGGTCCATGTCCCCCCCTGGATTAGCCCAATGGCCCACCTAGTCAGGTCACTTCCACTTAAGGAAGGAGCACGGCATCAGACCTAGTAGCACAAGCTAGGTCAGGTGCAACTCACACCCACCCACACTCACTCATGCATTTATCTAACCTATTTTTAAAACTACACAACGTTTTAGCCTCTATAACTGTACTCGGGAGTTTGTTCCACTCATCCACAACCCTATTACCAAACCAGTGCTTTCCTATATCCTTCCTGAATCTGAATTTTTCCAACTTGAAACCATTGCTGCGAGTCCTGTCTTGGCTGGAAATTTTCAGCACGCTATTTACATCCCATTTATTTATTCCTGTTTTCCACTTATACACCTCGATCATATCATCCCCTAATTCTACGCCTTTCTAGAGAGTGCAGGTTCAGGGCCCTCAGTCTATCCTCATAGGGAAGATTTCTGATACATGGGATCAACTTAGACATCCTCCTCTGTACGTTTTCCTCTGCATTTATATCCATTATGTAATAGGGTGACCAGAACTGTGCAGCATATTCTAAACGAGGCCTTACCAAGGATATATAGAGTTGAAGAATAACCTGAGGACTTCTATTATTTATACTTCTAGATATGAAGCCAAGGATTCTGTTAACTTTATTGCGAACACTAATGCACTGTTGTCTTGGTTTTAGATTACTACTAACCAGAACTCCTAAATCCTTTTCGCAATCAGTAGGGAAGATCTACATTATTTAGTTTATATGTGGCATGGTTATTGTCCTGTCCAACATTTAGAACTTTGTATTTGTCTATATTAAGCTGCATCTGCCACTTCTCCGACCATTGCATCAGTCTATTCAAATCATCCTGGAGTGCTCTAGTGTCCTCATTAGAATGAATTGGCCGGCCTATTTTGGTGTCATCAGCAAATTTGCTTATGTCGCTATTTATTCCCTCATCTATGTCGTTTATGTAAACTGCGAACAACAACGGGCCCAACACTGACCCCTGCGGAACACCGTTTGTGACGTGCTCCCATTCTGATTTCTCCCCATTTATGCAAACTCTCTGCTGCCCATTACTCCCATTCCAAAACCCAATCAACAAAACTCATTTCGCCCACTATCTCTTACTAGCTGCTTGTGTAAAATATTCGAGAGGATGATTGTTAATCGTCTCATGCACAGAATTAAACAATTTTTGTCTCCCTGGTTGCATGGTTTCATGCATGGAAGAAGCGTGCATCACTGCATAATCACCTTTTTCACTCTGCACACTGACAGTTCATACACTACCTTCCTTGACCTTAAATCTGCTTTCGATGTAGCCAACCGATATGTAATCATTAGTGAACTTGCCAGAATGGATGTTGGAGGATGGCTTCTCCGCTGGATTAAAGGCTACCTGTCCAACAAAGTCTTCTGTGTTGTTCCAGGGACATAAAAGTGTAACTAAAGATTTTGAATTATGAACCCCACAGGGAGGTGTGTTCAGTCCCACTCTGTTCAATATTCTAATTAATGCTTTACATAATGCTATGCCTAACCAGCCCCATCATTATATGATTAGTTTTGCTGATGATATAATGATTCACACCACCGGATTCTCCAACAGCCCAAACATCCTTAACCATGTACTAGCCTCGTGTCAGGACCTGGGGTTGATAATCTCTATTGATAAAACAGATGATCAGACTGTAACTGATTTCATCAACAATATGAACAACACACTTCTCATACCAACAATAACTAAACCAACCAGGCTCACTGAGACAAGTGCAACCACAATAGACCACATATGGACTAATATACTAGCCCCCCTTAAATCAGGGATAATCACAGACAGCACTACTGACCACTACCCAACCTTCCTCTTAACAAACATTAGTAAGCCACCACTCGAATACAACAAAGTTTCATTTAGACTCCATGACGAGGCCTCAATAAGGAATTTCACAGCAGACCTAGAGACTGTTGACTGGCCTACTGAATTCTCCAACGCCAATGGTATTGATGATTGGACAGACATTTTTCTTAACAAAATACTTAGACTATACAACAAACATTGTCCTATAAAAACGAAACAGATCACGAATAAACGGCTTGGTTGCCCATGGCTAACTAGTAGCATTCTGAAATCCATTGATAAGAAACACCAATATGAAAAGCAATATAGACAGGGCTTAATACACAAAGATATTCTTAAACAATATTCAACAGTTCTCACCAAATTAATAAAGAAAGCCAAACAACTGTACTACTCTAGCAGATTCACTGATGCAAGAGGAGATATAAAAAAAGACCTGGAAAACACTTTCCCAGATTCTGGGGACCCACAAACTGAAAAAAACAAGAATATTGTTCTAACTAAACCTCATGAAACACCACTGACCGCCGACCTAGAAAATGTACAGAGAACTTTCACGGCGCGCATAACGGAGATAAAACACCTAACTAAACCTCATGAAACACCACTGACCGCCGACCTAGAAAATGTACAGAGAACTTTCACGGCGCGCATAACGGAGATAAAACACCTCAATTACTGGGAGCGCTTGAGGTTTCTAAACCTGTATTCCCTGGAACGCAGGAGGGAGAGATACATGATTATATACACCTGGAAAATCCTAGAGGGACTAGTACCGAACTTGCACACGAAAATCACTCACTACGAAAGCAAAAGACTTGGCAGACGATGCACCATCCCCCCAATGAAAAGCAGGGGTGTAACTAGCAAGTTAAGAGACCATACAATAAGTGTCAGGGGCCCGAGACTGTTCAACTGCCTCCCAGCACACATAAGGGGGATTACCAACAGACCCCTGGCAGTCTTCAAGCTGGCACTGGACAAGCACCTAAAGTCAGTTCCTGATCAGCCGGGCTGTGGCTCGTACGTTGGTTTGCGTGCAGCCAGCAGCAACAGCCTGGTTGATCAGGCGCTGATCCACCAGGAGGCCTGGTCACAGACCGGGCCGCGGGGGCGTTGACCCCCGAAACTCTCTCCAGGTAAACTCCAGGTAAACTGATACAGCTAACAAAATAAACGACTTCTTCTCAAACATAGAATCTAATCTCGCCAGTAAAATCCCACATACCAATGCCTGTGCCAGGGACTGCCTAGATGGGAATTTCCCAAATTCCTTCTATCTTGTACCAACTGAGCCCACGGAAGTCACCGCGATCATAAAGTCACTTAAAAATAACTCGGGGAATCTGTCTCACGTCCCACCATTATTGTACAAGCGAGTGGCCCATGTCCTTTCACATGATGTTACATTACTTTTTAACAAGTCACTAGAAACTAGCACTTTCCCGACACTACTCAAGACATCAAGGGTTACACCAATACATAAAGGTGGTGACCCTACAGACGTAAACAACTATAAGCCAATATCAAACTTACCATTGCTATCTCTAATCTTCGAGAAACTCATGCACAGGAGACTATATTCATTTATAACGTCAAAAAAACATACTCAACCCCTGCCAATTTGGATTCAGGAAAAATAAAAGCACTAATGATGCAATTATAAAAAATGCTAGACCTGCTTTACACAGCATTGGAAAATAAGGAATATCCGCTAGGAATTTTTATTGACTTAAGAAAAGCGTTTGACAGAGTAGACCACGGCATCCTACTCCACAAACTTGACCACTATGGTATAAGTGGCCATGCGCTTGCATATTTTAAATCCTATCTTTCTAATAGGTATCAGTATGTCACCATTAAAGACACAGCCTCATCAATACGGCCACCTGATACTGGAGTTCCGCAGGGAAGTGTACTTGGACCCCTGCTCTTCATCATTTACATCAATGATCTTCCAAACATATCCCAACACCTGAAACCCATTCTCTTTGCTGACGACACGACTTATGTCATCTCCCACCCTAATCTTGCCACCCTCAATACCATTGTTAACGAGGAGCTGCTCAAAATATCGACTTGGATGACAGCCAATAAACTTACACTTAACACTGGCAAAACCTACTATATTATGTTTGGTAGCAGAGCAGGTGTTGCGCAACTTAACATTAAGATCGACAACACTCTAATTGCCAGACATATTGAGGACAAATTCCTTGGCCTATACCTCGACAACAACCTAAATTTCAGCACCCATATACAACACATAACAAAAAAAGTATCCAAAAAGGTGGGGATCCTCTCCAAGATACGATACCTACGTGCCACAAACTGCCCTTCTCACTCTATACCATTCACTTATATATCCATACCTCACCTATGTTATCTGTGCTTGAGGTTCAACTGCAGCAACACACCTAAAGCCAATAGTAACTCAACAGAAAGCCGCAGTAAGAATAATCACTAAATCCCATCCCTGGCAACCCCCCCCCCCACTCTTCATAGATCTAAACTTACTCTGTGTTCAGAACATCCACACTTACTACTGTGCAATCTATATCTACAGGACCTTAAATTCCAATATTAACCTTGACCTAAAACGCTTTCTTGATAGTTGTGACAGGATCCACAGGCATAACACCAGACACGAACATCTCCATGACATTCCCCGTGCTCGACTAAACCTTTACAAAAATTCAATGTATTTCAAAGGACCTAAAATCTGGAACACCCTACTTGAAAACTCTAGAACTGCAGACACATTCATCACTTTCAAAACTACAGTTAGAAAACATCGTATCTCCCCGATCCACCCCGTCAACTAACTACATGATAACCACCTGGTGGTTCACAATTACACTTACTCACCCACTGACTATAAACCCAGAAATACTAATCAATCTTA